AGAGCAAGACTCTGTCTTAAAAAAAAAAACGAAAAAAAAGAAAAGCAGAATTTAAAATTTATATGGAAACGCAAAGGAACTAAAAATGACTAGGGCAATCTTGAAGACCAATAATGAAGTAGGAGGACTTGCTCTGTTGTACATCAAGAATTATTATAAGACTACTACATTTAAGACAGGGTGATCTGGCTTGAATTTAAAATGAATAGGCCGGTAGAATAGAGAGGCTGCAAATAGTTTCAAGTGAATGTGGCCACTTGATTTGACAAATGTGGCAAAAGAATAAGGAAAGGATGATCTTTTCAGTAAATGGTGGTAGGACCATTGAACATCTATATAGGGAAAATTGAAATTTTATTCATTTCTCACACCATGCATAGAAATAATATCTAAGAAGATTATAAACAGTTGATAATAAACAGTACAGCTTTGAAAAGATAATAAGGAGAATATATACATGATCTCATATTAGGAACAAAATTTTTTTAAACATGACAGAAGAAAAATTCTTAGGGAGAGATCAGTGCGTTTGGTAACTTAAAAGTAAGAAATTTAAGGCTGGGCACAGTGGCTCACACCTGTAATCCTAGCACTCTGGGAGGCTGAGGCGGGAAGATTGCTTGAGGTTAGGAGTTCCATACCAGCCTAAGCAAGAGCGAGACCCTCCATCTCTACAAAAAATAGAAAAAAATTTGCTGGATGTCATGGCATATGCCTGTTGTCCCAGCTACTTGGGAAGCTGAGGCAGGAGGGAGGCTTAAGCCCAGTAGTGTGTGGTTGTGGTGAGCTACAGTGACTACAGTGACACCACTGCCCTCTACTCTGGTGACAGAGCAACTCTGTCTAAAAAAGAAAGAAATTTATACCAGGCTCAGTGGCTCACTCCCTGTAATCCCAGCACTTTGGGAGTTTGAGGCGGAAGGATCACTTGAGGCCAAGGGCGAGACCAGCCTAGGCGATATAGCGAGACTCCATCTCTATAGAAAAAATTTAAAAATCAGCTGGGTGTGGTGGTGCATGCCTGTAAACCCAGCTACACAGGAGGCTGAGGTGGAAGGATCACTTCAGCCCAGGAATTGGAGGTTATAGTAAACTATGATCACACCACTGCACTCCAGTCTGGGTGACAGAGTGAGACCGTGTCTCTGATGAAAAAAGAAAAAAGAAATTCAGATCTTTAAGACAGTAAGTGAATGAAAATGTCAGCTATGATATGAGGAAATATTTGCAATCCTTAACTGAAAACCTATATCCAGAATATGTAAATGTGTCTACAGATTAATAAGAAACAGTCATGTAGAAAAAATGGGACAATACTTCATAATGAGGGATTTTGAACATCTCATTCAAAATTGGGGAAATGGGAAATAAATCCACAGTGAGATTCTGCTGGATTCATTTATGGTGAAATTACTGTGGACAATTCTAGGAGTGAGAGGAGGTAGAATATAGACAATTAAAACAAAATCCAGGCCAGGTGCGGTGGCTCACGCCTGTAATCCTAGCACTCTGGGAGGCCGAGCCCAGAGGATCGCTCGAGGTCAGGAGTTCGAGACCAGCCTGAGCAAGAGGTGGGACTCCATCTCTACTAAAAACAGAAAGAAATTAATTAGCCAACTAAAAATAATATAAAAAAAAATTAGCCGGGCACGGTGACGCATGCCTATAGTACCAGCTACTTGGGAGGATGAGGCAGAAGGATCGCTTGAGCCCAGGAGTTTGAGGTTGCTGTGAACAAAGCTGACTCCATAGCACACTAACCCGGGCACACTAACCCAGCCAGACTCTCTCTCTAAATAAATAAATAAATAAAACAAAGTCTATCTCTCTAAGAGGTTACTGTCAATTTGCTGAAATAGGTATGTGATAAAAAGGACACATTTATTATTTATTAAATGCCAGAAATACCTCAAATCCTATAATGTTTTAAGGCTGTTTTAAGTTCTCATGAACAAAAGGCTTACTGAGAGCCCAGAGACAGAATGATAATAATGCTAGGTGTTTTGGGGAAGGTATTAATAATATATATTAGAAGGCGTTTGAATAGAAATAAGAAGATACTCTTTTCTTTTGGAGACAAGGTCTCACTCTGTTGCCCAGCATAGAGTGCAGTGGCATCATAGCTCACTGCAACCTGACACTCTGGGCTCAAGTGATCCTCTTGCCTCAGTCTCCTGAGTAGCTTGGCCTACACCAGTAGTCCACCAACCCAGCTAATTTTTCTTTTTTTTTTTTTTAATTGAGCCAGAATCTCACTCTTGTTTCCCTGGCTAGAGTGCCGTGGTGTCAGCATAGCTCATAGCAACCTCCAACTCCTGGGCTCAAGCGATCCTCCTGCCTCAACCTCCCAAGTGGCTGGGACTACATGCATGTGCCACCATGCCCGGATAATTTTTTCTATATATTTTTAGTTGGAAAATTAATTTCTTTCTATTTTTAGTAGAGACGGGGTCTCGCTCTTGCTCAGGCTGATCTTGAACTCCTGACCTCAAGCAATCCTCCCGCCTTGGCCTCCCAGAGTACTATGATTACAGGTGTGAGCCATAGCACCTGGCCCCTATTTTTTTCTGAAACTGATTTCTATTCTTGCCTCCTGTCCTGGAATATGTGCTACTCTGGTTCTCCCTTTAATTCTGTGTTTTCCTGCGTTTACTTATTCCTTTTTTTCTGAGTTTCGGGGAAAGAGTAAGAGTGGAATAGAGAAGTGTTCTATCTTGGACCCCAGGCTGTATAAAGGAATGAAGTGGACAACAGGCTCATGCAGTGTGTGGGTTTGGTCTGGTTGTTCTTGCACTTGTAGGGAATCTGTCCATTTTCATGGCTTCAATTGTAGTCTCTGCTATTGACAGTCCTGATTTTTAATTCGCTATCCTATTTTATTATGTTGCTGTCATTTCAATCTTAAACGTATCCTACACAGAACTAAACTCTACCCTTCTTAATCAGCCTAATCCTTTATTTATTAGAACCACTATTTCCCGTTATTCACAGTTGAAACTTTAGAGTTGTCTTTGATTGTTTTTGAAGGATTAAGAGAAATGTGAATAGTCATTCTTAACATCTTATGTAGTATTTTTGCTGAAGTACTACACTTTGTATTTTGTAGATATGATTTCAAAAAAGATGAAAGGAATCTTAGTACAGTGTTTAGTTTATGGACTTATAAATGTTTTTGAAAGATGATTGAAAAAAATCAAAGACTTCTTACTCCCAAGACACTTATTTTTATAGAATTAATGTGTGTATAAAATAATTAGCAACATTATACAATGAAGTTTTTACAAAAATGTGTAGTAGAGTGTCTAAATACCACCTTCATTGTGAGAGCATCCCTGGCTACTCTTTTAAAAATTGAAAACCTCACCTCAGAATACATACTCATACACATTTACTACACATGCTAGTTATTTCCCTTCCTGCTTTGTTTTTTCTCTTAAGCACATACCATATTCCAGCATATTTTTAAATTTGTCTTATTGCCTGTCTTGCCCTCTTTCCACCAAAAGCTTACAAGTGAGCAAGGATTTTCATCAATTTTGTTTATTGTTATATCTCCAAAGTCTGATACGTAGTAGGTATTCAACTATTTGAATGCATGAGTGAATAGTAGGATCTTAGAAACCTTTATGAATTTTGTGATAGATGAGACAGGTTTTAAAAGATAGACGACGGAGACTGGTAACTGCCTAAGTAATTGGCTGGGTCACTTTCTAGCGATGGTTCCCCCTACCCCTTTTAATCTTCAAGCCTTTATCTGACATTCTGTGGTTATCCTCTAAACAATGTTTGCCTTAGGAGCCCCTTACACACTGAGCTGTTCTTTTCTAGTGGAATCTTAATGTTCAGAGCAAATACACTTCTTATTAAAATCAGATAGTATTGGAATTCTGCTTTGTCATGAAAGATTAATTAAGTATTTGAATTAAGTGTGAATGCCACTCACATTTTATGTACCTTGAGGTAAAAGGTTTTGGATCTTCGGCTTAGAACCAGTTTTATGTCCTGTCTGAGGACTGACCATTAAAATATAAAATAGCTATCTTTTTTATGGCAATGGGCAGTTAACTTAAAGAATAAAACAAGGTGCCTCTTAATCTAGGTCCTCTGTTTAATTTGGTTAAGTTAATAAATGCATGTTTTCCTTTGTGCAGAATTTTTTTTAGATTATTGATGGGTAAAAATTATATGTATTCATGATATACTACATGATATTTGATATATGTTTACATTGTGGAATGGTGTGCAGAACTTGATAGTATAGTTTTACCTTAGTCGAGTTTCACCGCCTTTATGTTGATAGAAATATTTTTGCAGCCACTCTGAGTTAAGCTTGTCTTTTGATTACAATTTGTCCTTAGGATGCAACAGTGACAGCTTTAACTCTTGAGCTAAATCGGGTTTGAATCTGGTTCTGCCTCTTACTGGTGGGATGAACCTCAGCTTCTGTAAAATGGGAATGATATCTATCTAATGGACTGTTGGAATTAAAATTAAGTACTTACAACTATTGAATAGTAAGATTCAATAACTATTTGTTATTATTTATAAAGTAAAGTGTGGTTAAAAATGATTATCTTTTCATTAAATAAGGTCTTCTCTGACCATGCTAAATATTTAATATAATACCTTCTCCTTTTAACTCTTCATTCCTCACCCTGCTATGCTTTTCTACATGGCTTATTGTTACTTGATATTATATATTTATTAGTTTTTCTCCTACTAGATTTTAAATTTTGAGGGGAAAAACTTTGTTTTATTCATAACTGTATTCACTCTAGTGCCTAAAACAGTATATGGTTGATAGTAGGTGTTCAGTAAATATTTGGTTAATGGGTGAGTAAATTAAGGCACATGAGGGCAACTAAACATTTTTAGGGGGCATCTATTTCATTGTTTAATGAGTTACTGCCTTTTATGAAGGAGCATATTTTGTTTTGGCAATACCTCAGTGTTGAACTTTATTGCTAAATTTTATCCTTTTTTTTTTTTTTTTTGTTAAGCTATATGTGAAACAGAACCTGAACAGCCTGTACGACATTACCCATTATGGGTAAAAGTGGAAGGTGAAGTAGATCCAGAGCCAGTTTATATCCCAACGCCTTCTGTCATTGAGCCTATGAAACCATTGTTGTTGCCTCAGCCAGAAGTTTTATCTACTACTGTGAAGGGCAAACTGCTCACTGGAATTAAACCTGCACGAGCATATACTCCCAAACCCAATCCCGTGGTAAGCTTGGAGTTTCATCTTTTATTACAAGTTACAAAAGTCATTTGTAAAGATGATGCATTTCAACCAGATTTTTTGCGTGCTATTCTGTTAATCAACTTGCTTTCAGGTAGTATGTCTGTAAGACATCTTTCTTTCTGGTTTAATCAGTTTAGTTACTGGCACTTTTAAAATGTCATAGAAGTAGAGGTAAGTAGTAGTTAGTTTTAAAGATAGCCATCTCTCTCTTAAAGAAGATCATAGAAATGTGGGCTTTTTTTTTTTTACATTACTTGAAAAAGGTCTTTTAAAGTTACTATTATTTCTTTAGTATAGAATATGGAGTAATTGAGATGTATGTCGTACATATTATTAGAATAACATTAAGGAAAAGCTTTTAAAAACATTTTTTATATGTGATAATGTAATAGAAATAAAATTTAAAATCTTAAACAGTTATAACAGTTGATATGTGACTATGTGAAGACTGGTAGGTAGAAGTAAAAGCTGATTCTTTTGTTGTATTAAGAGCTTAAGCAATTCTGATTATCAAATCCATTTCAGTCTTCCCAGTCCATTTAAATTGAAGAAAATCCTTTAGTACAGTGCTATTAAATGTGGTCTTGGTAGCAGTGCTAGCCTAAAACCATTTTGTTACTGGTCTGTGATGATATAAGTATAGTTGACTCTTCAACAACATGGGGGTTAAGGGTGCTGATCCCTTGTGCAGTTGAAAATCCACATAAAACTTTTGACTCCCCCAAAACTTAACTAATAGCTTACTATTGACTTGAAGTCTTACTGATAACAATTGGTTGAGTGACACATAATTTGTATATTTATTGTCTACACCCAGTAAGGTAGAGAAAAGAAAATGTTACTAAGAAAAACAGGAAGAGAAAATACATTTATTCTCCATTAAGTGGAAGTGGATTCCCATAAAGGTTTTTGTCCTCATTGTCTTCATGTTGAGAGGAAGTTAGTCTTACTGTTTCATAGGTGGCAGAAGAAAATTTGCATATAAGTGGACCCATGCAATTCAAACCTTGTGTTGTTCAAGGGTCAACTGAATAGAAAGTAAGTGTACATATTTAGGACCTTTTACAGCAGGTTGATTAGAGTGAATCTATTATGCTAAAATACTTGGGCTTACATTTTACACGTCTTTTTTTTTTTTAGTAATTTATTTTGTTGTATTTATTAAAGTACCAGTCTATGATGGACTGGTAATTAACAAATGCATTCTTTACCACAGATAATTTGAGATGCACTGCTCTGCTGTGATCTGAAATTTCCTAATAGAGAACCAGATCCTTTCCGAGTGCCCCAAGATTCAGCACATATGAACTGTACTTGTCCTATTTGATATTAAAGTTTGCATTTAAAAATTTCAACTGTTGTAATAGAAATAAAGATTGAGCATCCTTTTTCTTTTGGAGTCTAGGAGACTTTTTTCCCCATTGTATGGAATGTTTTATTGTATGAAACTTACAGATTCGGGAAGAGGACAAAGATCCGGTCTACTTGTACTTTGAAAGTATGATGACTTGTGCCCGAGTTCGAGTATATGAACGAAAAAAAGAGGAACAGAGACAACCCTCCCCCTCCCCCTCCCCATCTCCATCATTTCAGCAGCAGAGCTCATGTCATTCTAGTCCTGAGAACTATACTGTAAAGGTGAATTACTTGTTGCATAATTTCTTTTTAACTTCCAGTTTCCATTGTTGGTATTAGAATTTGCATTACTATAAGAATAATTAGAATTTATTTACTATCAGAATAATGAATCTGCCCTACTTCTTGTAGGGCAGAGAAGGCTTACATGAAATGTATATCAGTTTATTTCTCTGTGTACCTTATTCTAGTGATCTGTTTCTTAGGGCTGTTAAAAGTATTATTCTTTCCAACTCTGGAGTAATTTTTTTTAAAAGAATAACATTTTTGGTTTTAATTAAATTTTTTATCTATAATTATTAGGACATCTTTCCACATTCATGAATTTTCTAAGTAACTGAAGCCTGTCTCATTAAACAGTATTTTTCCTTTACTACACTATAAAATACAATGTTAACTATTTTCTTGATTACTCAATCACTGTCAAGGACATCTGAGGGCAAGACTACTTGCTTTTGCGAGTGCAGTGGCACGATCATTGCTCACTGCAGCCTCGAACTCCTAGGCTCTAGTGATCCTCCTGCCTCAGCCTCTTGGGATTTGATATGATAGTAATAATTTGTGCAGAAGTGAAGCTGTTGACATTTTAATTATTCTGTTGATTTAAGCTTCTGTGAGAGATTTAATGCTGTGTCCTGGTTTCTGTTAATATTAAATATATGTTGGATTGAATTATTACTGTGTTATTCCCTTCAGGAACCTGATTCTGAACAACAGCCCTTAAAACAACTCACCTGTGACTTGGAGGAGGATTCTGATAAATCACAAGGTCAGAATTAAAAACTAGATCTTACCATTTGATAGTAATTATATAGCTCTGGATTAGAATGTGGGAAACACTACCAGTTCAGTCTATGTTTACCTACCCTGTATCTAGCTTTTGACAAAAATAGAGATAATAAGTAAAGTCTTTTCCCATTATTTGGTTTGTTTAACACTCCTGCTCTCAAAAATAAAAGAAAATTTATTCATGTTGATTAGCTATGTTATTGTGAGAGACATTTAGGATGAAGTCAGTGAAATTTTTTTTTAAACTTCTTTCCAAATCCCATCAATATTGCCATCATTAGCTATTAAAATTTTCCCTGAGGTCCTCCATAGCTGCCACCATTGAGGAAATGCAGAGGTAGAAAGGATGGAATATCATTGATTTATCTAGCAGAGGCTATTGGAAGAATTATGATGATGAGAGGTAGTGGCCAAGGAATTACCTATTCATTTTTGGTTATGTGTCTTAAGACTTCTGACACTTAAATAGCGGTTCTTCCTAACTTTTTAAAAATGTCATAGTATACACATAAAAAAGATAATGTTTGTATAGCACATTGAGGTAAGTTAAGGAAGCTGCTGGGGTGGAGGGAACCTGCCTGAGAGCAAGAGCACCCTGAGAGGGCTATGGGGGTCTGTGTCCTTGATATACCTGTAATTGTAGTACATTGATTAGGAAGCTCTGCCGTAGAAATCTAGGTGTCTCGTGAAATTTATATCTAGTCAGCATGTTGCCATGGATAGCAATACATTGGATAGTTGAGTGATCTGCACACAATGTTGGAATGGAACAGTTACATCTAGAGGCACAGAGGTAATTCAGAAGTCTTTGCATTAGAAACTAGAGGTAGAGTATACTTTTAAAAAATCAGAACACTGTCTCCCTTATTCTTTAGGATTGACTATAACCTTCAGATGTTTCAAAGCATCTTGAAAGTATCTGTGCTTTGCCTATATGGATAGCAGAATAGTAACTTATAGCAATTAAGCTTAACATTGGTTGTATGTCATGCTTTATTTGCAAGCTCTTAGCTTTTTAGAGCACTGTTAAAGTGACTCCCTATTTATTAAAGCCCAGTCAGTAGGATTAGGATAGTGACCCGGGATCTTTCTTCTTGGAAAACTCCTAAATTGTGAATATTAAACGTATGTATTAGGTTACCACTGAAAGTACATGGGACTTAGACAATGAGAAACTGTTGAATTTCTTTCAAAGTTCAGCACGGAAATGCTGTGATGCAAAAATATCTTTCACTTTTTTTTTTTTAATCAGAAAAGAGCTGGAAGTCTTCCTGCAATGAAGGGGAATCCTCTTCTACCTCTTACATGCATCAGAGGTCACCTGGTGGTCCCACCAAACTGATAGAGATCATCTCAGACTGCAACTGGGAGGAGGATCGAAACAAGATTTTGAGCATCTTATCCCAGCACATCAATAGCAGCATGCCACAATCACTTAAGGTGGGCAGCTTCATCATTGAGTTGGCTTCTCAGCGAAAGAGCCGGGGTGAGAAGAACCCTCCTGTTTATTCTTCTCGTGTGAAAATCTCTATGCCATCATGTCAAGACCAAGATGATATGGCTGAGAAATCTGGATCAGAGACTCCTGATGGTCCATTGTCCCCTGGGAAAATGGATGATATCTCTCCTGTGCAGACAGATGCCTTGGATTCAGTGAGGGAGAGATTACATGGAGGCAAAGGTCTGCCTTTTTATGCAGGGCTTTCTCCTGCAGGGAAGCTTGTGGCCTATAAACGTAAACCCAGTTCAAGTACATCTGGGCTTATCCAGGTGAGAATTATCTTTAATCTGGGTATAGCACCTTTTTATATTTAGGTAACATTGTGATTTTTCTGAGCCCTTTATGGGTCTTATATCATTTATCTTTACATTTCCTGGGAACTGGGTGATCGTTATATTTTTGTAATAGGCCTAGGTTAGATGCATAACTAGAGTGAATTTTTGGCACATTTACAAACAGAAATGTGGAGCCTTATATTGGCTTATAATTTCTTTCTAGTCTTCCCAGAAAGTTGTTCTTTTTAAACTTTGTTACCTGGGCTCTAGTGATACTTTGACAACTGAGCAAGGATAGTCAGAGATTCAGTCTAGTTCTTGGAATTTATTATTGGCAGACAGCTTTTGAAACAAAACCTCATATAGGATGTTAGGGATAAGGGGAAGATGAAATTGACTTTATTTTTTATTTTTAGCGTATTATGGGGGTACAAGTGTTAAGGTTACATATATTGCCCATGCCCCCCTCCCCCCTCGAGTAAGAGTTTCATGTGTGTCCATCCCTCAAACGTTGCACATCTTACTCATTGTGGTTGTATATACCCATTCCCTCCTCGCCTCTCCCACCCTCCCGACACCCGATAAATGTTACTCCTATATGTCCACTTAGGTGTTGATCCGTTAGTACCAATTTGCTGGTGAGTACATGTGGTGCTGGTTTTTCCATTCTTGAGATACTTCACTTAGTAGAATGGGTTCCAGCTGTATCCAGGAATATACAAGAGGTGCTGTATCACCATTGTTTCTTAAAGCTGAGTAGTATTCCATGGTATACATATACCACATTTTATTAATCCACTCATGAATTGATGGGCACTTGGGTTGTTTCCACGAAATTGACTTTAATATAGGCAGTATGTTTGGAAATTTGGGGAAAATTTTTAATTTAATGTGTTATTCAGATACATAAGAGTTTAAAAAATTGATCCATGTTTACTTAATTTTTTTCCTTTTTGGATTCACATGACTTTTGCCAGTGTAATCATTGTATAGGGCAAATATCTCTATTGTTGCTGTTTAATAATTTAGGCAGATTATATTAGTAAAATTATGCTGGCATGTAGAAAATTTGAAGAGAAGTCTTGAATTAAAATGTAAGTCATATAGTCAGAAAGATTCTCTCTACTTGCTCAGTGACATTAAGTGCACTTTTATATCAGAGTGGCGAATGTGTGGAAGTATCTGATGTTATTGACAAGATAACTTGACTCTTATTAGATTGACTGTTTCTAAGTCACCAGTGGAATATGACTGATCTACTTAATTAAAAACTTTTTATTGCAGTTCACTCTCACTGATACTATGTAACTGCTTCTGTTGGTATTTCTTAAACTCTAAATGATGGGGAGAACAGTGTTTTCTCTTTATCTCATTTATTGATTGATACTTTGAAAGCAGAGACTTGCCTGAGATCATTTCTGGTGAGATCAGACTCTGTAAAATACAAGCATAGAAATTTTGTGTTCTTTTCTGCCTAGGACTAACAAAGCCACCATAGAAGGCCAGGCACGGTGGCTCATGCCTGTAATCCTAGCACTCTGGGAGGCCGAGGTGGTCGGATCGCTTGAGGTCAGGAGTTCTAAACCAGCCTGAGCGAGACCCTGTCTCTACTAAAAATAGAAAGAAATTAATTGACCAACTAAAAATATATAGAAAAAATTAGCCAGACATGGTGGTGCATGCCTGTAGTCCCAGCTACTTGGGAGGCTGAGGCAGGAGGATCACTTGAGCCCAGGAGTTTGGGGTTGCTGTGAGCTAGGCTGATGCCACGGCACTCACTCTAGCCTGGGCAACAAAGTGAGACTATGTCTCAAAAAAAAAAAAAAAAAAGCCACCATAGAATATAGCTGCATAAGCAGTCATGCAGCAGTAATGTAGACTTCGGGGAAGCTGATGAGCCGTCTTCAAAGCAGGCCCAAGGGAGCAGATAGGGGTATCTGACCTAGTTTTTATAAAAAACTATAGTAAATTTTACTTTCGGTGGAAAGACTACATTCTTTGTACAAAACTCAAGACAGAGATACTCCTGATTTCCCTGAGAATAATCACAGTTTACTTAAGTAGCAAAGAGTAATTTTGTTTGTGTCTTTGAAGATGGAGTGGCTTGCTGTAGCCATTTTCCTCACCTATTCCCTACTAATTTATACAGTAGACTCCACCTCACTCTGTCTCCTCCTCCCACTTTTAAATGATGAAAAGGAGACACAGAAAAGGTTACTTCTCTAGATTTACTCAGCAGTATGACCTAGAGAACATGGGTAAGAAACTTAGGAGGTTTTTTTAAGAAGAAAGCTATGCTGCTAACCAGGATAGGCAATCTAACTAGCTCAGGTAGCAGAGAGAATCTTTACCTCATTTGTTGGTTCCCTTTCTTCTGACAGTTTAATTACTGTATCTAGAATTTGAGTGAGTTATCTATGAGCATTTAATTTGAAACCATGTTTTGTCCAAAAGATGAAGATAATTAATATCTTTAAAGTTGAGCCTTTCGAAAACCAAAAATGGAGGTAACTTTGTGGTTTAAGTTAGTATAACAATGGTTTTCTTATGACTTCAGGTAGATTCACCATATATCTTTCAAATATGAAGGATACTTGAAAGGACCCTTATGTGAGGGCTTCATTATGCCTCTGTGGTCTTATCAGACAGTTTTTGTGTAACACGGTGATTCATTTTTGCTGATGATTGTTAATATTTTAACCAGATGTGCTTATTGACAAGTAAAACAATTGGGTGATTCCAATTGTTTAGATTTAAATTGTATCTTTTACATATCGAGAATTTAGAATGATGATTTCTTAGATTCTCTGTTTCCAAACTACAAAATGAAGGAGATGACATTAGTTCAGAATATCAGGTGACAGCTCTTTTTTTTTTTTTTTTTTAACCTCCTGATTACTTAGATTATCCTGAATGGAAAAAGTCTACTTTTTTCCCCTTTTAAATCTGAAAAATAGATTTATAAAAAGTTTGTAAAAAATGAAACCCCTGTCAAGGGAGAGGAGTTAGCAAGAGAATTTTATCTTTACAGAATTTCTCTTTGCCACTTGTTTCAGGTTAATGGTAAGAGTTACCCGCAGGCTAAGTTGCTATTGGGACAGATGGGGGCATTGCATCCAGCCAATAGGCTAGCTGCTTATATCACAGGCAGGTTGCGACCCTCAGTCCTGGACCTCTCAACCCTCAGTACTGTCATCTCCAAGGTAGCATCCAATGCCAAGGTGGCTGCATCCAGGAAACCACGTACCCTGTTGCCTTCAACATCCAATTCCAAAATGGCATCCTCCGGCGCTACAACAAATCGTCCTGGGAAGAATCTGAAGGCGTTTGTTCCGGCAAAAAGGCCAATTGGTAAGTTGTACTGTACATATGATTTGGAAAGGCCTGTGACTTGCTGCTGCTGGGCCAGTGGGCATAGGTATGGAGGTTGTAAAACTTAGAGGAGTATAGAATTTGGCATTATTCTTGATGTCTTTTTATTTTTTGAGACAGAGTCTCACTGTGTTGCCTGGGCTAGAGTGCCGTGGCATCAGCCTAGCTCACAGCAACTTTCTGATTCAGCCTCCCAAGTAGGTGGGACTACAGGCATGCGCCACCATGTCTGGCTAATTTTTTCTATATATTTTTAGTTGGCCAATTTCTTTCTTTCTATTTTTAGTAGAGACGGGGTCTTGCTCAGGGTCAGGCTGGTCTCAAACTCCTGACTTTGAGTGATCCCCCCACCTCGGCCTCCCAGAGAGCTAGGATTACAGGCGTGAGCCACCGCACCTGGCCTTGATGTCTGTCTTGGCTGAATTTTTTTTCTTTTCTTTTTTATTTTTTTGTAACTTTTCTGATAACTTACAATACTAGATAAATTGAACTAGATGAATTGAATAGTTTTACAGTTTTATTTTCAAGATCTTTAGAATGATCTTATTAATATAGAAAAGACTTAGATTTTTATTTTGTTTTTAAAAAGAGAAAACCCTTAAAAATATTTTTTTCTATTTTACCATTTTTCCTGTGAGGACTGGTTTTTTTGGGCACCAATCATATGTTTATTCCTTGAACTTATGAAACCAAGGAGCTAGCACAAGCTAGTGAGGTAGGTCAGTATAGGCTTAAAATAGAAGGCTTTTGTAAACATAATTTTAGAAACATTACTTTATTCTATCCATCACTGTTCTGTGACTAAAAACCTCTTGCTTAACATTTCAGTGCTAGAGTCTGTAATAAATTACCTTCTTGAAGGATTTGTGTTTTAGTATTGAGAGTATCTATGGTTGGTGTATTGAATTCTTGTTGTTTCAAATCTATTTAGAAATGCTAAGTAAAAATGTCAATTGTGTATTCTTATTCCTCTAACAGGAAATTGAAATCTCTTGCTGAAGCTAGAGTTGTGTGAAGATAGAGGATAGCCATTGTATGTCTTAAAAAGAACCTGTTTTACTTCTTTTTAAAAGCACCTTTAATTGTGATTTTTTTTTTTTAAACCAGCCCTATCCTGCTCTCCTTTGAAAAATATCTTTATGTTTTTTAGGAATATGCAATACTTGACTGTCTCATAGTATGACAGCCATAAAGAGGTAGATGTACTGGACAGGAGGAATGAAATGGAGGAAACAAGTTTTAAAATTGGAATTGGGGGAGAAAAATCCTGTCCTTCTTACTTTTTTTGATCTGTTAAAACCTAAAAGTTTCATCTAAAGGTGATGAAGTTATTTGCTGCTGTATTGTCTTTTTAGTGTCTTGACAATTTGAATATATTGCATAGTCAAAAGAATTTCAGTAGGAACACCCAGTTTTAATCCTTTTCTTGTTAGAATTGTAAGAGATTGTTTTGGGTTGAGGGAAGTGTTTGATTTGGTGGATGAAAATTGACACGGATAATGCAGGTAGGTAGTACCTGTAAGAAATTAACCCAGTGGTGTACAATAAATGTTGATAAGCACAGTCACTAAAGGATAAAATACTTAATATGAGAACTGAAGATTTTTGACCTGCAAATTTTT